ATTATGTATTAATGCTTTGTAGATCAAATCGATATATAACAACTTAATAACATGAAGTTATAATTATAACAACTTTAGACTTGAGGGATAATTGTAAAACTCTTTACTAATGACTGTGCATTTTGAAAGGCAAGATGACACATTCTTCTTCTGGACTATTGTTTAGTTCAGCACACTCAGATTTGGCAGCTGCAGTCTGGTGTGAACAGTAACTTATGGTAGCCAATATAACCTACCTTAGCCTTCTCATCGTGTGTTGTTTTAACCAAGCAGTAACCAAATGAAGCCAATGCGGAAGTGCCAACGCCTGCAGTTCCTCAAATGGCCACTTGAGGCTGGCTCCAAGTGGGAGTCAATCACCATAGACTCCCATGTTAAAATGCCCAACAGCAGAAATAAACATGTTTATAACTTGGTACACAAAACGATTTTGGTCTCTAAAGCTAATTTCCCCTTCCATGACTGTAAGAGAGGTGAACTGTTATATAACTATCCTGCTTAAATTACCTTGAGACTAAAAGCAATGCATAATTAAGGGCATGGCTTCTCTGAGTGGCCCCCGCCACTGGTGGCTAGCTTCATTCAGCCCTCCTCAGGTCCACTCACGCTCCACCTCTTTGTCCATTTTTGGATTAGCTTCAACAACTTGTGGGCACAATGGCTGCTGTTTGGAAAAGGTAGCACAGACTCACTTTAAAGGTATAATCCTTAGGATTTCAGTCCTCATTAATTTGCCGACATCCATAGTCACTAGTGGTAACAGCATGTTACTATGGTTCAATACTACAGCAAACACTTTGAGCAGCTACAAATGCATTTCCTATGACTGCTTCACCATAAAAGAACACACCAGGGTGAACTAGCAGTAACTCTGATACAGCTGTGGTCAACCCTAAACAATGAGGCAGAGATAAATTAAAAACAGTAATGCTGGATTACATGCATACATGATTAGATGCAACATGTCCTGTCAAGCATGGATGGCCAACTTCAATCCAGCTGCAGCAGCTACAATGACTCCACTACTAAATGAAAGAAAGACTCTACTACTAAATAAAACTCCTATATAAGAAAGCTGGCTACAGAATATAGATCTACTAAATGGCTATTGCTGAAAAATGGTGACCAAATCTGGGTCTGAGCTCATGAAAACTTCAGCACATAGAATATAACTGAATACTCGACTTACTGAAGAGTTGAAATATGATCATTTATTAATATATTATAAATATGAAAGTACATTATGTTATATAAGGAACAAATGCCATCAAAAGTATAACCTTGCAATCTAAATGTTCTTATTACCAGCTTTGAAACTGATGTATAAGTCATCAGTAAATTATGTATTAACTGTTAATTAAGCCATTAGCTCCAAAGTACAGCTAGTGGGGTGCAGCACCACTTTTCTCTGTTATACTGGGAGTCTGAAGCATCAGATCCTGTGAGTGTGTTACCATTTTGCCTGACACTGTCTTCCTTCAGTTCTTTTTAAGTACTTATGGGCTTAACCACTCAGCTCTCTCAGTACAAGTTATGACTGTTTAATCCCATCAACAACAGGGATTGCTGGCAGGGTTATCACTGAATTTGAGAAATGACAGGAGTCTGAGCACAGGTCAGTGTGAAATGTTGATTCATGACTTCTGAAAATGCCACTGGCTAACTTTTTTAAGGCTTATGTGGCTTTTATGGCCAGATTAATCTTCCACGCTCAAGCTTGTCTTCAAGCACAGCAACGCGAGGACTCTCACAGTACATTACAGTAGTTTGTTTCCTGCTTCAGGTGAGACATATTTTGTGCTGGAGCCATTATGGTAAGTCTGGGTGGTTTTGGGCTGCCCCTGTCAGTTTTTCTGCAGTCTGACCACTTTTTCTCTTGAACGATAGAGTTCTTACCAGCTGAGTTTTACTGCAGTGGGCAGATAATGCAAGACAGTGTCTAATTAATTTTACTTCTTGACAGACTCCACAAATGATTTATTACCTCCTGTCACCAGCTCCTGATTGGGCCATTGCTGTTTAATGAGGCAACATTAGCATAAACAGCTATATGAGGACATCATCCTTGAGGTCACCAGTTGATTGGTGTGACTAGTTTTGAATTTTAGGGGAAGGTCTCGGGGGTTTGACTCAGAAAACTTTTAACATTTCAAGTCTCTGTGTGTGTGTGTGTGTGTGTGTGTGTGTGTGTGGGCGGGCAAGAAGAGACAAATGCCACTTCTTCAGACCCTCACCTAGATCCTGGAAATTACTGCCTTGATTTATGTTCTGCTGCGACTAAATCTGATATATGAAGGGAGGCCAAAATGTATTCACTGTAATGCAAATTATGTTGAATGACAGCGGTGATTATTCTCGTGTAGTTAACTTGACTGTGTAGTAAATCCAGGAATCACTCAGAGGTGAAGATTAGAGCAAAACATGAACATCCATCATGTATACTGCTTATCCTATAGAGGATTCACTCACATGGGCAATTTAGAGTCACTAATCAACCTAACCTGCTTGTCTTTGGACCGTGGGAGGAAGTCAGAGCACCCGAACAAAACCCACACATGCACGAGGAGAGCATGCAAACTCCACACAGAAAGACTCCAGTCAGTGCTAACCACTGCCCCATTGTGCCGCCCAAAACATGAACACCTATGGAAAAATTGTATGTGCATCTTATCAAGGTCTACCTGCATCCTTCCCCTCCACTTTACCTGTATTTTCACTCTCATCTGGTCACAAATTGACACAGCCAAACCAAAATCAGTTCAACCCCAGCAAACAAAATATTTGTGTACATGGCAGTAACTCCAGAACACAAACTGTGATAACCATGAGAATGAGAAATGATATATTGTGTGCTGGAGACTCGCAGTACCATGGCTGTTGGTTATTAAATTCACACTAACTAAGGAAGACTGCGTGTTTAGAGTTCTCACATGGTGAAGTTTCAGATGATCCAATATTCACACACAGCAAAGATTAGAGGGGGAAATAAAACAAAACTGAAAAGTTCTGTGTATCAGAACTTTCTTCACTCTCTTCCCTCTCCCATAAATCATCTCACAACCCCTCAGTTTTATCTGGTGATCCTTGACAAAGGCCCAGCTCCTAAGTTGGGAGCCATTGGTTTCAACTGTAAATCTAGCACAGTAAAACACTGCTTACAATATGATACATAAGTGGAAATATGTAATTTAATATCCCTGTCGAAGACAGCTTACCAGTTTACCAGTCAGGTCACTTAAGATAACTTTGCTCATTAAATCTCTTTTACTTCTAAGTATAAATTTCAACCTTGCCTCGCCTAGAATTGTAAGTCACTATTTTTACATTGTTATACCAATGCATTTGTTTAATTATAGGGTCTGATACTTTCTTACAACACTGTCTGTACCACAGAGAATATGGTGATATTTAAATCTCCTAGGTGTAACCTGAGTTTAGGTTGGTAAAATTTCTTAGGTTTCTTTATTCAAGCTGAACGTTCGATAACTGTATGAATAAGGTTGTGCCTCCACGGCCGCCGTACTTGTGTTTATTAGACGAGTCGTAGTACAGCTAAGCTGGGCGAAAAAATGGCAGAGTATTTACGTGTAAAATCAACTAGGCTAGTTTTGAAAGGTCGAGACAAAGGGTACGTTTTTACAAATCTTATTTAGTAACGTTACTACGTATCGCTACCGTCTGCATTTTCATAACTGCTAAGCTAAGTGAGCTTCTGCAGTCTGTGCTAGCTTAAGCTACATTAGCAAAGGCTAAAACGATAAAGTTACGAAGAACACCAATTTACTACTGTTCAACTGTATTTTATATTTTTTCCAGATTGTCAAGTTCAGTCAGTTGTTTGAGACCGGCTGACAATTTAACACAATACTTAGCTTGCAGATGCTAAAAGCTAGCATCATTCAGTTAGGGGCCAGCTGCTATAAATGCAGCTTTAGCAGCACCACAACCGAGAGCTATCTAATGCCAAAGTATTTGACTATGTCTGGTTAATATTTGCAAATAGCCTAAATACGGAAAACTAAACTAAACATGTTGTTCACTTTGTTGTTATGAGGCATGGGGATTTAAGGAAAACCAAAAATCAGATTTTGTTGTGAATTTACATTGCAACAGCACAAAATTAATGAAAACTAATCAGACTCGATGATTTCTCAAGGTCCTGCAGCTCGTATCCAAAATGTTCACTCAAATTGAAAAACAAATTTCTTATAGTTGCATTTAAAGGAAAATATATTCACTTTTCTAGAAATTGACCTGCCAGCTTGAGAGTCTGACTGAATATGTTTGACATTTTTGACATGATAATATTTTGTTTTCTTTTGTTTTTTCAAACAGAAAAAAGAAGAAGCACAAAGATAAGCAGAGAAAAGCTACAGATGCAGAAGAAAAACCTGATGTTGTTGGTGTGTGTAGCTATTTTACTTCTATAATTGTACAGGTGAACTAACAATATTTCATATCCCAATATCCTGCTGTCGTATAAATGGTGGAAATGATCAGGGTGGCAAAATTTAGCAAACGTTCTTTTCTTATGACATCACCAAATTATTTAGAAGACTTAAGAGTTACTTATCATGTTTTTAATATAACAGGAAACTAAGAGATTTGCATGTAAAAGTCAACTAAGATTAACATTCACAATTTTTTTACGACCACAGAAATGTTACATACATAATAAAAATGTATTAATCATCACTAGAGAATCAGTATTTCATACTTATGACATACTAATATTTGCAAACATGCCTGATGATTTCTGGGTTTACAATCAGAATTAGATAACTGATGTAAAAATCCCTTTAACCAAAAATATCCATAACTTCAGTGGAGTTGCTGTCTAGAGATAGGCTCTGTATGACCTCTTAATTAATTTGAGAGTGATGGCAGATTCTGCTTTAAGGCAATCATTGTATTTGCGTCTTGATCGTAGATTACACCTTTTAAATATATAATTACAATAATGCAAATTGATAAAGAACCTTCCTCTAGCATCTGAACCTACTGACAGTGAAAGTTCTAATGCTGTGTTGCAGTTTTGCTGATTCTGTGTCACTGAGTTTAAAGCACCAGCTTTAAGTAATGTTTGCTACACTGTTATACAAGGTAATTGGGTAAGTCTCCGAGTGAACGTTTTTTGGCAAATCCTTAACTCCTAGCACATGTTTTCTAGCTACAGTTTTATCCAAAAATGTGCTCAGAATCGAGATTGTACCCTAATGTTGCTGTGACTTTCAGCACACAGCGATGCCTTGTGTTGTTGCACCTTTTGACACAGGTCTTTCTTCTCATCAGGTGGTTGGTGGTCCATCAGCAGCTTTGGGGGGATTGCCGGAACAGTTGCCATAGAAATGCAGAACAACTCGTATATCCATGCTCTTGATACTGGGCTCTTCACACTCGGTGCACCACACAAAGGTAACATGATGTGCTGAGGTTAATTCTAACCAAGTTATTTTAGAGGAGTCGCCTTCTTCATCTAGCTGTTGTGGCTTTTATTCCAGTTGATTACTTTTCTCAGCTGAGTAGATTTTTTTTTTTTTTAATTTTAGGTGATACTTGGTATATATCAGTCTGAGTATTTTCTACAGCTGCTGAGTGTGTGATGCCAGCAACTTCTACTGCTTTAGGTTGCTTACTTGGGCGTTTTGATAGTTCTTATTGCAAGCTTTTGGTTGCGCTCCAAATAAGAGACTCATTTACAGTCGACCCAGTGATCCAATCAAGTTGAGAAGTTTGTAACTTAATTCATACCACAATGTTTGTAAATCTGAGTGTGTTTTTGCCCTGAACTCAGATTAGGGCTATCACATTTTAGTTGAATCATATCATCACAATAGGATCATATTGCCTCACCTTTTTGAAACACGCTGTTGTCTAGTTGATGATCCTATAAATGTATAATTAAAATGGACAAGGTAACTTTTTAGGGTCTTTGTTTTATGGAGTTGTAACAGTCACTGCAGTGATTTGTCAGGTGAGTAGTTGGTCAGCAGAAAATGAATTGGCAACTAATCTCATAAATGAATTAGATTTTGGTCCTTTTTCAAGTCAAGAGTAAAGTGAACTGAATACCTTTCATGTATGTATATATGTACACACACACACCTATCTATATATACCAGGTGGGATGTAAGCTGTCCTGTATTTCATCCAATGTGAAACTCAATTTTGAGGTCATGTTCACTGTAAGCTCCAGGCACTGGGGGATGAAGGGGGGCTTTGTTGTCTGTTCACAAAGCAGCAGATTATTTAAGTAGTAAATCTAGTCTGAAAAGGCTGAACAGGACGGACCAGAGCTAATTCAGAGTTTTCGCTCATTTCTGCCTTGAGGCACTTCTGAGGGAGTGGTGCTCATCGAAACAGTCAGCTCTGAAAGAGACAATACTAACAATTAATTCACCCCACATTCTGTGAGAACCAGTGAATATGACTGAGAGATTGAAACATCCCAATTCCCTTAGTGGGGCCTCATCCTCTGCATGCACATAAGCTCATTTCTAGGAGATGAAAGAGGACACGAGCTAGCAGTAGAGGAAGAGAGATTGCAGATTTCCCATCTTGACAGGATGTTCTGCACAGACACCACAAGCTGATGTTCTCTTAGCCAACTCACCGGGTCACAGTCTGACATTTCCAAGATAATCAACCTTTTGAAAAAACTGCATATGTCACATTTTGCCTCTGCTTTATTAATGCTCCCCTTGGTAATGTCTGGCTTACTTTGCTCTTCCTTCACCAGATGCCTGTGTGGCGCACTACAGATCACACGTAGCTTTGATTTATTGTAAAGGTTAGGAAGTGGCCTAATCACAGGCAGATTCCAGTCGCACAGAATCATGAGGAACCCAGGAGGCCTCAGTATGAAATAAAGTATTTAAACACAACACAGCTATTCTAGATGGTTGTGTTGGTGTACCGGACCCAGATCAGCACATCACGGAATAGCCAGAGGGTTTTGCATTATTAATTACAAGGATGCATAAGTAAAACATGAAGCAGGTCTTAAGAATGTGAAAAGGAGTGATGCGCATTTTAATAACGGCACATGATAGGTGCACTGTATTAATTAAACAGTACAAGAGTGTGGCAAGAGTTTTCTGTCAAAAACTGAAAGATCCATGCCCAGAATTTGCAGGTCATCAACTCAGCCGTTGTCTTGCCACCCAGGACAGTAAAGGCGAACATGAGACTTATAAAATAAAGAATAAGGATAAAATTTGAGAAATCAAAAAGATCATCAAACCATCATTAAATAAATCTGAACAACAGCATGGGATTAAAAACAAATCTAAAATGACACTGTACAGTATGTAGCACTTTGAAAAGCAGTACTAGCAATTAAACAAGTTAAATATTGTTGTATATGTTTCAGATGATGAAGGACCAGACCCTCCAGAGCAGTTTACTGCCGTCAAGGTCTCAGACGCACGGTGAGTACAAACTGCATATTGTATTTACATTCACAGACAATCCTTCACCAGCAGATTTATTACCCGCCATCAGCGTTTAATTTGAAGGATCTGTTTATATTGTTGAGATGTACACAAGTGATTTATGCTTCCTTCCTTGAAAGTCCTGCCTGCTGTGAAGTGGTTTCTTATGTGTTAGTTACAGGGTGTTGAGCTCAGAGTCGTGCTCTACTAATGTTAAGCTTTTTGTGCTCAGAAAAAAAACATCCTCTAGGAGAATCCAATGTGTTTGAACCTTAGAGGCCAGTGCCTGGAAAGATTTTCACTTCATGACTTCTGGTGTTACAGAATAGCCTTGAAGTCTGGATATGGCAAGTACCTGGGTATTAACTCTGAGGGTTTGGTGGTGGGGCGCTCTGATGCCATTGGCCCCAGGGAACAATGGGAACCAGTCTTCCAGGAAGTGAGTAAATCTTCATGTTTCTTCTCCTAATTTTGATCATGCTAATCTATTTTGGTCAATAAAAATGCTATTTAAGCTCAGACAATAAGCTAAGGGTGACACGTGAGTGACTTTTTCCCCCAATCTTACTAGATTGCTGTTTATTTCTCCTTGTCCCATCCCAGACCTCTGAAAGATGTCGCAGCCAGTGCTGTCCATATCTAACCCTCTCTCTTTTTCAATTCCATGTGATTATTTCCCTACTATGTGATGCCTTTAACGGACCTTACTAGAAAGGAATGGGATGTCGACTAACTACTGAAGGCATCTTGATTAAAAAACTGTTATGTTATAGTTTAGTTTAGAGTTGTCTTCATTGTTGTGGTGACCACCAGTAAGCGTTTCAGACCCACTGTAGCAGAGTGCCTTTAATGTGTGGCTTTGTAGTCTGAAAAGATATTTTGGTTAAATTCATTTTTTAAAGTGCTATCAAAATGTGTTCATGTTTTTCTAAGTGGTAACTAAAGGCAACACGAAGTTGTCATTAGCCATTAAAGTGCAAAATGTTTTAACACTGTGTTAACATCAGTGTCCTACCAATGCAATAGTCCAGGCAGAGAACAAACTTGCAGCAAGACAGAAATATGACACAAACATAAACACAGCAGTTATGTAAGGCAGGAGTTGGACACTGCATAAAGCATCTTGTAACAAGTCAGATGTAACCAATACTGTGTGTGCCAGGTTGTGTTACAAGTAGAGCTGAAGCAGTTTATTGATTAATCAATTAGATGATCATCAGAAAATTAATTGGTGTCTATATTGATAATTGATTAATCACTTTAGTAGGTTTTCCAGCATATACATATACAGTACTTTGTTTTGCAGTTACTTGTTTTTTCCTGCCTTTCACAGCTCTCCATGTGGCTGATTAGAGTTTAGCCCATGAGAGATGGCACTTAACTGTAGCCATGAACAACTGATTTATTATTCAGAATGCATCCACCTTATCACTGTAGCGCATTGCTCGCTTCGCTGCTTTGTTGAGCCCATAAATAACCTGCCTTGCACAACCTTGAGGCTCTTTTACATCAAATATCAGGCAACCTTTCATGCCTGTCACAACAACCAATCCCACTGCAATTCTATCTAATCTACTGCCTCTTCCTCTGTTTTCTTTCTGTTCTGCCTCAGGGTAAAATGGCTCTCCTGGCAGCAAATAGCTGTTTCATCTCTTACAGTGAGAGTGGTGACATCGTGGCCAAGAGCAAGATGGCAGGGGATGGCGAGATGGTGAAGGTGATGTGTAAATTGTGTTACTTCCACAAGGTTGCATGTTAATCTTTTCGTTTTAAGTATGCAATCTCTGTAGGGACCTGACTCTTGAGAGCAGAGGAGAAAAATATTTGTGACCTTCACTTCAGGGGGTTCAAGGTATTGATATTTAATGCGCAACTTCTCTCTGTTTATTTTTTTTTTTCTCCTGGATGATGAACAGATCCGATCAAGTGCAGAACGAGAGGTCAAGCGTAAAGATGACATTGCAGATGAGGACAGGGGCAATGTGAAGTCCTGCGAGGTCAATTATGTGTACGTATCTGCCACTGTGTGTAACTTCAGTGCTGGCTCTATACAGGCAGTTCACTAAAAAACAAATGAAACCACGGTCTGGAGTTGGATGTTCTGCAGCTTTTAAGTTAAACTGTTGTGCTTGGTTCAGTTTTAAGAGCCAATCAGAGGTTATTTCACCCATGTGAGACATGCCGGGCTGCTGTTGTAAGTTAATGTATGTTAAATACACAGATGGACCAGAAAAATAGAAGCTCCTGTGTATGTTTTTTCCTTCATGCTTCTGTCCGCGCCGGTGACAGCTGTGGCCAGAGGCATTGTGTTTGCGGGTTGTCCATACATACAGTTGTTAAGCAAGATGTTCAACATGAGTTTTGTAGGACAATTTGCTGCCGGTTTTCCGCGGTGTCTTAAAAAGTTTTAAAAGGCAATAAACCAGTTTAAAAAGCTTTAGTCACTATTTTAAGAGGTATTAAAGTTTGTAGCTATGTGAACAGCCTGTTTATTCAGAGTTTGTATGGTAAAGGTTTGTGTGAATCTATTTATTTATACTGCGCAGCCACACAGCTTGTGGAATCCTTTGTAGACACAGTGTCTCTGACCTGCATCTGGTGGAATCCAGGCTGAATTTGTCGTCCCCTGAAAAGGTCCAACATTTTGTGCACTCACTGTCCCACAGGCTGCTGTAAGTTTAACAACTCTGTGTTAAACTGACCTTACATAAACTAAAAACTCTAATGGGGAAGTGCAAGTTATATAGATGCGAGTTGTGGAGTTCAGGTCTTAAAATGTATTAAAAAGGTCTTGAATTTAACTTCACAATGCATGCATAGACCCCACGCTGCCTACCTACATAACCGTTTTATAGCTCTAGACTGCATTATTCAGATCTCCATTTACAGCTTGGCTATTGCTGGGAACATCACTGCTCTTGTTAAATGCACACGTTTTATCTTGTTGGAGTTTAAAACAAGTTAAACAGGGAGACCTGCAGGTCATCAAAAGGTCTGGAGCGATTTCACTCAGTAACACATCCAGCTTCCATGTGCCATACGATCCAGCAACATGACTTGTAAAACTTACTGGCAGTGTTGTGCATATTGTACATCTTTTCTGTTTTTCTCTTGTCTCAGATTTTGAGAGTACCTTTAAGTGGACCTTTCCCCTTTAAGTTGTTGTCACATTAATTATACTTGTTCACTACAGCTTGACATTTTACAGCCTGAGCACTAAACTGTGCAGCGTCCTCTGAAATGGACGTTATGGCACTTTACTGTGATTGAGGGAGAATACGATGATTTCAAAATCACATCTCTGGGTGGGAGATCGTGCTGTTAAGTTACCGCCTCATCAGGCCTGTACATTTAAAGATTCAGTTGATGGTCTGCTGTTAAGAGCGGGATGAGAAAGCGCGCAACGCCGCACTTTAGCTTCCGATGTTGCATGTGTTATATATACTGTGGCCTATTAAGTTCCAGGCAATATGTCCGAATCTGTTTTTTTGCTTGTCATGCTTCGGCTTGTGTTTTCACTCTATTATTTGTTTTAGATGAATGCCGGGGGAATCGACTCATCATGTTGACATGTGGATAATGGCTGCCCTTGAGCCTGTGTCTTGATGTAGAGTTTAGTGAAATGCCTTTTAGGATGGAGTTCAGCTTGAGGATCATAAAACAGGCAGAGAAAAAAACCTAAATGTTAAAGGGGTTGTTCATAGCACTGTTGTGCAAGATATTTAATGATATTGGTGAAGTAGTTTTACAATGAAACAGATTAAAGTGTTCTGTCTACTTTTTAGGGGAAATATTCAGGAAGTATCGTACTAAGAGGAAAATGCTCACAACTGATCACATTTCATTGTTGCCTTGATGCAGTAACGGCAATGTGACATGTATAAATTAGACTGAAACTGTTTGTTTGGACTCACGTTCCTGTTGGATTACATGGGAATGTGTCCAAACTTGAATAGTAGAGACATTTAAAAAATGTTTGCCTTAAATAGCAAATTCCTCTGTTATCTTCATAAAGTACTTCTGCCTTAGCTGAATATTTAAACATGAGTACTGTACAGGCTTAGCCACTCAACCTGTTGCTACTTGGCTGCCACTGTCAACATCTAAATTCTCTGCTTTGGTCAACGCTTGAGCTTATTACCTAGATTTCTTTTTGGGTTTTGCTGCCGAGGGCCTCAGTTTCAGTTGTCATAAGCAAAGGATAACGGGCGAAAATGTCAGTAGATTTGACGGAGAGTCTGTGTATGTGGCTGTCGTGTCTTTGCACATGCTTTTGTAATCTTATGTTTCTGTGTTAATTACAGGAAGAAGTTTCAGAGTTTTCAGGATCGGCAGCTCAGGATTAATGAGGAAGACTCTTCTACGCTGAAGAAAGCCAGAATGGATGGGAAGTTTCATGAAGCTTTGCTCGACAGGTGTGACAACAGACTCATTTATTTATTGTTAAACTCCAGTTACACATTCCTTTGTACTCACTCCTTTAAGTTCTTTCCTCTCAAAAACAGGTTATTAAATGTTGTATTTTGACTGGAAAAAAAATCATTTAAATTAGTGCTAAAACTACACCAAAGATTGTTTTTGTGTTCATGCACCCGATTAAAAGGGTGACATTTAAAATCCAAACACAGACTCAAAGGTTATGTATATAAAAGTCTAACACGCTGCAGTAGAACCAACATCTATTAATGTGTTTGTATCTGTTGTTTCATATGTGCTTGCATTGCAGTATTACAGATGTGTTAACTTGTTGAACTTGTGAAAGTTCATGGGCAGGCAGTGCAGGCAGCCTCGTGCTGTCATTACAACAGATACTGACTCTTGAGAGCAGAGGAGAAAAATATTTGTGACCTTCACTTCAGGGGGTTCAAGGTATTGATATTTAATGCGCAACTTCTCTCTGTTTATTTTTTTTTTTCTCCTGGATGATGAACAGATCCGATCAAGTGCAGAACGAGAGGTCAAGCGTAAAGATGACATTGCAGATGAGGACAGGGGCAATGTGAAGTCCTGCGAGGTCAATTATGTGTACGTATCTGCCACTGTGTGTAACTTCAGTGCTGGCTCTATACAGGCAGTTCACTAAAAAACAAATGAAACCACGGTCTGGAGTTGGATGTTCTGCAGCTTTTAAGTTAAACTGTTGTGCTTGGTTCAGTTTTAAGAGCCAATCAGAGGTTATTTCACCCATGTGAGACATGCCGGGCTGCTGTTGTAAGTTAATGTATGTTAAATACACAGATGGACCAGAAAAATAGAAGCTCCTGTGTATGTTTTTTCCTTCATGCTTCTGTCCGCGCCGGCGACAGCTGTGGCCAGAGGCATTGTGTTTGCGGGTTGTCCATACATACAGTTGTTAAGCAAGATGTTCAACATGAGTTTTGTAGGACAATTTGCTGCCGGTTTTCCGCGGTGTCTTAAAAAGTTTTAAAAGGCAATAAACCAGTTTAAAAAGCTTTAGTCACTATTTTAAGAGGTATTAAAGTTTGTAGCTATGTGAACAGCCTGTTTATTCAGAGTTTGTATGGTAAAGGTTTGTGTGAATCTATTTATTTATACTGCGCAGCCACACAGCTTGTGGAATCCTTTGTAGACACAGTGTCTCTGACCTGCATCTGGTGGAATCCAGGCTGAATTTGTCGTGCCCTGAAAAGGTCCAACATTTTGTGCACTCACTGTCCCACAGGCTGCTGTAAGTTTAACAACTCTGTGTTAAACTGACCTTACATAAACTAAAAACTCTAATGGGGAAGTGCAAGTTATATAGATGCGAGTTGTGGAGTTCAGGTCTTAAAATGTATTAAAAAGGTCTTGAATTTAACTTCACAATGCATGCATAGACCCCACGCTGCCTACCTACATAACCGTTTTATAGCTCTAGACTGCATTATTCAGATCTCCATTTACAGCTTGGCTATTGCTGGGAACATCACTGCTCTTGTTAAATGCACACGTTTTATCTTGTTGGAGTTTAAAACAAGTTAAACAGGGAGACCTGCAGGTCATCAAAAGGTCTGGAGCGATTTCACTCAGTAACACATCCAGCTTCCATGTGCCATACGATCCAGCAACATGACTTGTAAAACTTACTGGCAGTGTTGTGCATATTGTACATCTTTTCTGTTTTTCTCTTGTCTCAGATTTTGAGAGTACCTTTAAGTGGACCTTTCCCCTTTAAGTTGTTGTCACATTAATTATACTTGTTCACTACAGCTTGACATTTTACAGCCTGAGCACTAAACTGTGCAGCGTCCTCTGAAATGGACGTTATGGCACTTTACTGTGATTGAGGGAGAATACGATGATTTCAAAATCACATCTCTGGGTGGGAGATCGTGCTGTTAAGTTACCGCCTCATCAGGCCTGTACATTTAAAGATTCAGTTGATGGTCTGCTGTTAAGAGCGGGATGAGAAAGCGCGCGACGCCGCACTTTAGCTTCCGATGTTGCATGTGTTATATATACTGTGGCCTATTAAGTTCCAGGCAATATGTCCGAATCTGTTTTTTTGCTTGTCATGCTTCGGCTTGTGTTTTCACTCTATTATTTGTTTTAGATGAATGCCGGGGGAATCGACTCATCATGTTGACATGTGGATAATGGCTGCCCTTGAGCCTGTGTCTTGATGTAGAGTTTAGTGAAATGCCTTTTAGGATGGAGTTCAGCTTGAGGATCATAAAACAGGCAGAGAAAAAAACCTAAATGTTAAAGGGGTTGTTCATAGCACTGTTGTGCAAGATATTTAATGATATTGGTGAAGTAGTTTTACAATGAAACAGATTAAAGTGTTCTGTCTACTTTTTAGGGGAAATATTCAGGAAGTATCGTACTAAGAGGAAAATGCTCACAACTGATCACATTTCATTGTTGCCTTGATGCAGTAACGGCAATGTGACATGTATAAATTAGACTGAAACTGTTTGTTTGGACTCACGTTCCTGTTGGATTACATGGGAATGTGTCCAAACTTGAATAGTAGAGACATTTAAAAAATGTTTGCCCTTAAATAGCAAATTCCTCTGTTATCTTCATAAAGTACTTCTGCCTTAGCTGAATATTTAAACATGAGTACTGTACAGGCTTAGCCACTCAACCTGTTGCTACTTGGCTGCCACTGTCAACATCTAAATTCTCTGCTTTGGTCAACGCTTGAGCTTATTACCTAGATTTCTTTTTGGGTTTTGCTGCCGAGGGCCTCAGTTTCAGTTGTCATAAGCGAAGGATAACGGGCGAAAATGTCAGTAGATTTGACGGAGAGTCTGTGTATGTGGCTGTCGTGTCTTTGCACATGCTTTTGTAATCTTATGTTTCTGTGTTAATTACAGGAAGAAGTTTCAGAGTTTTCAGGATCGGCAGCTCAGGATTAATGAGGAAGACTCTTCTACGCTGAAGAAAGCCAGAATGGATGGGAAGTTTCATGAAGCTTTGCTCGACAGGTGTGACAACAGACTCATTTATTTATTGTTAAACTCCAGTTACACATTCCTTTGTACTCACTCCTTTAAGTTCTTTCCTCTCAAAAACAGGTTATTAAATGTTGTATTTTGACTGGAAAAAAAATCATTTAAATTAGTGCTAAAACTACACCAAAGATTGTTTTTGTGTTCATGCACCCGATTAAAAGGGTGACATTTAAAATCCAAACACAGACTCAAAGGTTATGTATATAAAAGTCTAACACGCTGCAGTAGAACCAACATCTATTAATGTGTTTGTATCTGTTGTTTCATATGTGCTTGCATTGCAGTATTACAGATGTGTTAACTTGTTGAACTTGTGAAAGTTCATGGGCAGGCAGTGCAGGCAGCCTCGTGCTGTCATTACAACAGATAAATATCACGTGTGTCAGCAGAAGCACCTCACAGAGCTGCATTTTCTTGCTTCTAGTTATTATTATTATTATTATTACTAGTTATTTTTCTAATATAGTAAAATATATTGGAGTATGTTTGATTTAAAGTTCAATGTAATTTAGTTTTGGGAATACACATTGAGTATTCTACATCCATACTGTGACTAACATGTCACCAATTTGTTTTCATTACAGGAGAAGCAAGATGAAAGCAGACAGGTACTGCAAGTGAAGACAACTTTGTAGATCACGGCCTCCTTTGATAACATATTGATTTCAGGAATTTGGCCTTTTAATTTGACATTAAATGTCCTTTTTGTTTTTATTTTTTTAATAAACATTACCTGGTCTGTTTTGTCATGCTCAGTTTTCCTGGTTTGTTTTTATTTCCTGCAGCCAATTTGATTATTTGTGGTGAATTCCAGACCCACTGGTTTGTTCAATGTAAATCATTAACTAGTGTGGTGTTTGCCCTGTGTTTATGTACAGAAGATGAAACTTGTGCCCAAAAATCACACGTTAATTTACAGTAATTTAAGTAAAGGATGTGGGGATAACTTAAATGATGTGTTTTACTCTCCACTTTATTTTCCATTGTACACAAACCTATGTCAACACTTGAACATTACACTTATGTGACTCTTCATCATCTCTTTCCAAAGCCATGGGCATTAATCTGCTGCTGTAACAGCCTCCACTCTGGAAAAGCTTTCCACAGGATTTAGGAGCCTGACTGCAGAGATTTGCTCCCATTCAGCCACAGGATTATTGGTGGGATTAGGTACTGATCTTAGGGCAATGTGGCCAGCTCAAATCTGGGGTTCCAGTTCATCCCAGAAGTCTTGGATGGGGTCAGAGGTCTGTGCAGACCACTCAGAATCCTCCACCCCAAACTGAGAACAGTTTCTCTGTGGCTCTGCCTTTATGCATGTTGTCATGCTGAAACATGAACACACCACTGATTTAAAGTGTTTGACTTGTCTTTTCTAACAAGTGTGCCAACCATTCCCTAGTCCCAGCTTCTCAGGGTTCACTGCTTTTCTTTGTCTTGTGTAACGTCTTTGGATTTTAGATTATTGGTCAAACAAGACACGGTGTTTAATGGATATCACATTTAGGCTGAGGGAATATGTGATGTAATGTCTTTGCTACTTTCTTGCATTTTATAGACCAAATGAATAATCAGTTGATTGAGAAATAATCAACAGATTAAATCTTAAATTAAAAGGTCATGAGTTGCATCTTAATGCTGCTCATGTACTGTATGTGTGTATGAATATTTGTATCAGTCATGGAAGATGTACTCAAAGCACCAGTAAAACTATATAAAAGTCAATTCAAAATCCCACAGAATTAAACATATATATTAGCAGAAGAAATGTATAATTCTCCAAAGTTAAAAGTTTTTGTTCTCTGGGAAAATGGCTCTGCTGACTGATATATGTATATTTTGATTATTGACTTCCTATACAGTTCGGTGTCTTCGTCCAGGCTCACCCCAGAGGGTCATGAGATGATTTGGTAGAAAAGTAAACAAAAACGAATTCCTGCACAAGTTAAAATTACTTGGTAGGTAGCCTTAACAGTGTGTTATTTTTAGAAAGATCCTGTGTTTTCAGCCAAAATTCTTATTCTGCAAAGTAACTAGTAACTGCAGCTGCCAGATGAAGTGTAGTGGATTAAAAATAGGTTATATTCCGGAAATGTGCTGAAGTAGCGATATAAAGTACAATAAATGAAATATATCATTAAATATTCAAGTACATTTGATTTGATTTGATTTAATCTTTAATGGTGTACTGTGCTTAATTGTTTCTCGCCACCGTGTGCTATTTAACAGATACTTAAACCCAATGTAACGTTAGTCCGCCGGAGCAAAACAAATGTATTAGACACATATAAATATAAATGTATGTGTCATTCAAGATGTATGCAAGAATAAGAGATTTAATCAAGAATGCATGAAGGAAACACTCTGTTTTAAATTTTCTGTGTATTACTTGTTTGGTGAAGAAGAGAATTACCTATGTAGAGATACTGCTTGCAGCCAATGATGCATGAAATTTTTTGTATAAGATGATGTTATGGGGTAGGACTGGATAAGTCTGACTTCTTCCTACTTCATTCAAGCATGTACTAGGTATAAGCAAATTGATAATGGATTAGCATTGGTTGGATTTGTGTAATTATGTGTGTGTGTTGATGTCATTTGTTCTGCATGCTTGAAAGAATAAATCAAATCAAATCACTTTAAAACAGATGGTGTCACGTGATGACATAAAGTCACCAAGTCATATGAGTGGTCATGTTACGTATTTTCACTTCCGTATGGAAACGACCATTGGCTGCGGCGTGTTTTGTTTCACTTTGTTAATTATTTTGTCCGAGCCGGTCGCCTTTGTTGCAAACAACAAAAACGGGATTGCTCAGTTTTACATCTCAACCATGTAACGTGGCTCGGGTGACATGTATTTGTGTAGAAAATGTTTTATTTCCTTTCGATAGCTTTGTTTCCCCCCCTCTTGTCATAAATGTTCGCTCGCCGCCGTCACGAGGTATAAACACTGCCTGTCGGAGCTTCCGTAGTAAACTTCAGGTAACAAACTGACGCTGAACGGAGAAAGATTTTGGCGAAGTTGTCTGAAAATGGGGCGTTGTGTTTTTCTTGTTTTAGCGGCTTTATTCTCCGTTACGTCGACACAGTTTAAACCACCGGTAAGTGATGTTTCAGTGTCCTTAACAGACGAAGATGACAAAGACAGAATGCGTTGAATAATTGCATTGAGCTGTACTGATATGTTCTCTTTGAATTCACACACAAATAATCGACTCTGTGATGTACTACTTTTATTTTCATTTGTTTGCAGTATGCAGAAGACTGTAGGACTGGAATGTATCCACCAACTGGCCCTACGTAAGTGTCTGTAAATGACATTACTGTGAACGAATGCTTTGCCAAATCAGTGCCGTTTTGACACACCTGTGTTTCCTAATAATGGAAATAAACGCTGATGCCTTCACTTGCTTCTCGTAAATCTTATCGTCCAAATTTGGAAGTTGCAGTTTGCACCTGTAACAAGGTGACATCTTCAGATGTCTAATTTTGTTCGCCCAGCAGTCTAAAACTTAGATATTTTCTTTATCTGTGGTATAAAACAATCAACGTTCCTATTTGTAAGGCTGAAAATTGCAGAGTTTTGTGAAAATATTTGGTGAAAAGTGACTAAATCATAAAGTTAGTTGCTTCTGCGATTGTCAAATTGATCGTTGCAGCTCTTCTTGTAGGTAAACTTTGTTTTTCTGTATTGTTGGATGCAATTTGATGAATAATTAATGGGGTACTTTACAGATTTTACACATCAAGATAAGTTTATTAGTCACAGAGGATTTCTCTGTTTGTCATACACAGCTCTGGAGGAACTTTAAAAAATTAATCTATCACCTACAGTTTTGATCATCATTTAAGCCATTTATTTGTCCTTGTTTTATTAATTTAAATGTCTTTGTACTGTCGGTTGGACAAAAAAAAGATGAATGTCAAATTGGGTGCTGAGAACTTGCAGTTGCTTGTCGCCCTAATCAGGTTCATAACAACAAATCGATGACACAGAGTCTGCATTTCAAACTAGGGGCAAGCTGCTTTTATTTAATTGTTGTTACTGTTATTAGTCTTTATTGTCTATGCTACTGTTTTGAGTGTTGCACCTATCAATCTAACCAAATTAACTGAGAATATAACCTACCCACCTCCCCTTTTTCTTTTCCTCTTTCTAATCATTTACCGATTTTGTTAATTGTATTTGCTTTTGTTTTATGTCTCTCTCTCTCTC